ACTGAGATCTCGTATACCCCCCGCATCCTCGCACAGGGAAAAAAAGGACACAACATGGAAATGGGGGAAAAACAAACATCCCTGTCGGGGTCGCACTACTTAACAGTCCACACACCGAGGAAAGCATGCATTCAACATGTCACACACACACACACACACACAGAGAAAGAGAGAGAGAAAGAGAGAGAGAAAGAGATAAAAAGAAGAAGACATGCACACATGCTTGCGCACATAAACAAAAATCCTCCAAGAAAGAAAAAAAAAAAAAAAATCAAAGCAACAGAAAAAGCCTCAACATACATGCCTCCAGATTCAACTATTTTAAAATCAACAACAACAAAAAAAAAAAAAAAAAAGAACAGAAATCGGATAAAATAAATGCCGGCAACAGCAACAAAAACACCAATTCAATGTCACTCTAACACCTGCAGAGACAATACACCCAAGAAATAATAATAATAAAACTGCTCTGCTTCACACTTACGTCAATTCAGCAACATATCCCGTGCAGTGAAACGCCAATTCTCTTGTCTCGATAACGTCTCCTCATTTACATCTGAAAGCTTTCCTGCACCAATAAACTCAAAAAACTTTGGGGTATAAACCCGACCCTCTGCTTCTAATTGACGTCGTTCTGCACGCTGAGCCTCCTCAACAATTTTCTTGGCATTGGATGCCGCCTCCACGTCTCCTTGACGAATAGCTGCCGTTAAGTCTTTCCACACCGCACGACTCTGCTTTGGGTACGGATGATCATCGTTGCCGGCATGCAGTGGATACGCATACGGTCGGCAACAAGGCATGCCACGCTGCTGTTGAAATATCTCTGCATCAAACAACAACTCTTTCCCATCTCCCTCTTGTGGCCGTAGGTGATGATTTTGCCGTTTTTTACCCACATCGACTCCCTTTCCTGTGCCTCGGGAGTAAATGGGACCATTCCAAAGTCCCACGTACTCTTCTGCAATTTCTTTACCGTCTTCTGTGCTGATCTTCGCAACAACTTCGTCATGTTTTCCACTAAAAAAACCTTTTCGACGGAAATCCACCGTGACATGCGCGAGGGATTGGCAGTCCTCCAGGCGAACAACACCACCAAGCTCAAGCCGTGGGGTGCCCGCAACGACGCCAGAGGCATACGCGTGGGGCAGTGAGAAGCGGAAAGACCACCCCGTCTTTGGAAATCGCACCAGTACAGAGGAAGAGCTGAGGCTTGCTACACAGTTCAAAGAAACGAGTTTGCTATGAGGGACAAAGACGCCTTCGGCAACAATCAAGTCGGGCAATTCGGCGTAAAAAGCACTTACAGGAGGTCGATGACAGACCTGCTCCGCGAGGAAATGCATACAGTCGATACTACGTTTAGGATTCATCTCTGGAGAGGTGTCGTGCGCCTGTGAGAAGCGCTCTCGTGGAGACGGAAATGATAATAACGACGCTGGTGAACTCACTGGCAGTGGTGCAGGGCACTTGCAGCGAAACACCTCACCAAGGATTGGATTATACGGTTTCTTTGCCGCCCCTTTTGGTCGCCAATTATAAGCGGAGAAAAACCACCGCAGCAGTATCCGCATACGGTCCACGGGATGATGTACCTCCCCTAACGCCAGTGGCATTAAAATATCCCACGCAAGAAACATGTCGGAAATCATTTCTAAAAGTGAGCGACTCTCAAGGATATGCACCGGCAATGTGACAGAACTGAGCGAACGCCCAACCCTGATGGTTTTCAAAACTTGGAAAATAATAGCCCCCTCAAGATGCAAATACCTTGTCAACACCTCAAACGAGTTGTTGCTGTTGTCATCCAGGGGATCGCAAAGGGCACGATCTTCAGCGGAAAGTGCCGGTACAACCTGTCGATTGGAAGCACCGCAATAAGTGTGCATGTTGTCCTCATCCTTTGGCCGCATGTTTTCCTCCTCACTAATTGACAATGGCTCGGGAAGGGAACTCTGGTAGCTTAAATGCCGCGTTGAAGAACTTTGTTCAATCGCTATGGCCTCCACCCCATCCCCCAATGATGAACAGACCGTGCAGAAATCCGCCTCGATAGTTGGAGATGCCACCGTGCTATCACGACGGGAAAAATTGTGGAATAGACCTCGCTTTAAAGGCGAAGCCCGCACGACTACATCACACGGTGACTGTCTTGTGGGCCGCAGCCTCTGTTTGTAGTGATACTGTCGGCTAAGAAGATAATCCTCCACTGAAAAACTACTGAGATTCGGCTCCACGTACTCGTCGTAGGAACCGCCTTCTGCGGCGGCAGCTTTGATGGCAGCGGTGCAGGTCGCAAGAGACATGATCGCATTCCTGTCTCCCCCTGCAGCCGCAGAGTTGCCATTACTTTTCAAAAGCGACAATAATCCTTGATCACGCCAAAGACTGGATAACGCAAAGAACATTTGCTCAATGGCAATCTTCAGGGAAACAACCTCCTCGACGCCCATCGCAGGAATAGACCGAATATGCTCCATAAACAATAAATCACCTACCGTAATGACTGGATCCTCCATGAGAATTCTCGACAATTCCTTCACACGTGAAAAAAACATAAAATGCTGAAAACAAACAAAAGCGGCCACTTCAGCTGCCATTATTGCGCCAATCACGTATAAGTTAGCATGTCTTACTCCAGAGATACTCTCTGGTACCAAAGCCATTGCTACAAGCAGCCCCACCATCAACATAAACATCAGAGCCGTGTTGAAGACCCAGAAAGGAAATATAACTATCCGATGCCGACTGGTTTTCGCCATCCTCCCGTCCCTTCTGTAAGCCTGTACGAATACGACGGATCCAATACCTTTTGATGTAATACCCAAAAAAAAAAAAAAAAAACGTGTATGCCACCTATTCACACCCCGTCCTACGCCCCTCCCCTCCCCTCCCCTCCCCTTCGTGTTGTTTTTCGTCTCCTTGCAAATGTAGACCTCCACAGCAAAGTCGCCCCCCCCGTATCCCTGATGCCTCTTTCTCTCTCTCTCCCTCTCTTTCTCTCTCTCTTCCCTTCCTTCCTTATTCACCCCCCAGAAAGTGAGATATCAGTACGTACCTTTTAAAAAATCAGGACAGAGAGAAGACAACCGACAATACACCACAAACACACAAATGCTCACTCGCACAGAAAGAAACAAACAAACGCAACATCAACTGCATTTTCACAAATAAATAAATAAATAAGGAGAATTCAAACTAACTTCTCCTCAAACAATCCCTCCCCTCTTATTCTCTGACTCTCTTACGCAGACACAGAAAGAAAGATGGAGAAAGTGCGTGTGTGTCCGTGTAGAACAGGTATCTCACCCCACCTCCATTCTCAAGACATCACTCCATACGCTTTAAGGGGGAATTTCGCGGCAAGGTCGGTGTTGTAACAGTTTGTGAAGCACTTCGCAGGGAGCCGATCACTGCCGTCAAAGTCTGCCAAATCAAAATCGCCACGATCAAACAACACCTTCACAGAAGCCTTTTTTTCTCCACGTGACAGACGCAATCCGATACTCGCAAACCGGAAGGAACACTGCTCAAAACGCACATTTCCTGAGCAACATATTTCCTTCAAGACACAGCCGTCAAAGCAGCAGCGAACAAACATGCAATCGTGAAAGATGACACCATAGAAAAGACTGCGGGAGAAATCCACATCCGTGGCAACTACAGAGAGAAACGACATTGTAGAAAAGTCGCATTGACTCATGCATTTATGTTCCATTCGAACGCCACGAAGCGTGCCATCAGGAAAAAGAGCCTTTACATCGCTCCCAGCAAGTATCAGCTCAGAGGCCGCGCGGTTCATGACGGAAGTGTCACTTGACATAAAAGCAAGCACCGCCGTTGCCAAGGCTGTCGAAAACTCACTCCCGTGAAGACACATGGAAAGCTCATCCATGGCGCAAGAAAAAGATGCAGTCGGTGACAGACTGTCGCACATCGCCGCGTCCGTTCGTGGTCCTTCTTCATCATGTCCCTCATTCCCTTTTGAGGAGGACAACTGCGGCGGGGGCGAAAGAGCAACCTCCATGCAGTGCTCGGCCGAGGGCGGTGCCTCCAGCGCCTCAGCCTCATTAACCGCACCGCTCACCTCACACTCGCCGGTGTCGGGGAGGCGCAGCGAAAGAGCGGCTGCCTCATCCGCAAATAACGCCTCTGAAAGCCGCGAGAAAAGTTGTGCCTTTTCCTCTGCGAGGTGCAGTGAGGACAATGCGTTCTTTCCCTCCGTGGCGTGCATCCGGTGACAACAAACTATGGATCGTCGTCTGCGGCCGGCAAACGCGGCAATCCCCATTCCACGAATACTCCCACAAAACCGCATTTTATTTTATTTTCCCTTCCCTCTCGTTTTCGTAGGCGCCCTTCCTTTCCCCCAGCAAAAGTGTGGAAAAGAAAAAAAAAAAAAACACGCAGACACACGGACACATATATAAATATGCAAGCAGGCAGGTAGAAAAACTGTTTCATTTTCACTCCAAATTTGTCTGAAGTCCCCACCTTCCAAACACTCCGCCGCAGTGGCGGGAGGAATAAAAAAAAAAAAAAAAAAGGTCATGCCACGCCGCCTAACAGGGGAAATATTTATGTATTTAAAAAGCACATAAACAATTTAAAAAGAGAGAGAAAAAAAAAAAAAGGTATTTTCCCTCGATCTCAAAATAAAGCAGAAGCAAAACCCAAAGCGTAAAAAACTCAAGCATATCCACTACACATATATATATATATATATATATATATATATATATATCAAATAAGAGAAAGAAAAAAAATGACCTTCTTCTCAAACTAATTCACCTGAGCCGCTGGACAAATCCTAAACTTATATATATATATATGTATATACGAAGTGGGATGGGAGAATAGAAGGTAATGAAGAGGTACTGGGTTCGTCACATCTTCCATGTTTGCTCCAAGTAAGTAAATACATACGTATCTACATACATACATACATACATACATACACATATTTATAAAGTGTTGGCCACTATTGTGACATGCTGCGGTCCATTTCGGATTGGAGATGTATATATGTATACAATTTAAAAAGTCACATAATTTGGGCTTCTCCGGCCATAAGACCCTACTGCAACACAAACAAACATACACACACACACGCACACGCAAAAAAAAAAAAAAAAAGGAAATCAAGAAGGGTTTAGGCGAGATGACCACAACAATGACGATAATAATAATAATAATAATAATAATAATAATAATAATAATAATAATAATAATAATCGTCTTGCCGTTACAGGTTTCTTGATGGTTTAAATCTTGTTTTTTCAAGGGATTCATAAAGATAAGGGAAAAAAAAAAGAAAAAAAAATTCGTTTTTTTTTCTTACAGGAATAAGTTCATTTTATCAAAAGATATTCCCTCATTCAAGTCGCCAACTTTCCTCTCAAATATATATATATATATTTTTTTTCACAATTCCTCTCTCTCTCTCTCTCCCCCTGTTGTGGTTGTGGTTGTTGGTGATGATGATGATGTAGCTTGTAAACAAAAAGACACCATGGAAAAAGGGGTTTCTTCCTTAACTCATCATTCCTTGTCTTCATGTAAATAAACGCATGGTGGAGGGGGCAACGCACATGGATGTCCGCTGGACATCAGACGGAAACCCTTCAGGCACATATAAATAACAACAGAAGCAAAGCCCGTACAGAAGAAGCAACACACCCACCACGCCACTGACAACATGTAAACGTACCAAGAAAAATAGCAGAAAAGGGAAAAAAAAAATAAAAAAATTCAAACAAACAAACAAATAAACAAACAAAAAAAACTCTAACGACCTCGCACAAACTCAATAGCACGGCGTAGTGGAGTGATACGCACCTTTGTGAAGGGCATCATCTCCCCATCAGACATAATAAACCCCTCAACTGCCTCCAATTCCACCGCTCGCGCCTTTATATAACTCACAAACGGCAGTTTGACGTGGTTTCCGGTTTCCATGGTGGTAAAAAACTTTAAGAAATCGGATCGACTCTTTTTACCACCCTTTTCCCTGGAAAATACAATGTCAATGGCGCCGTCACTCATGTGTGCCAGAGGCGCCATCATAATATCCTTCGTGGCATCGCGTATGTTGCTTAAAAATATAGCGTAGTGGTTTCCATCAAGCTTAACCCACGGAAGGCTGTCGTCATCAAAATCCGCAGACCCGCATTCTGAAATGGAAAGGGGTTCTGCACCCGCCGTGCCTCGAGAAGCAATAGCGCACCCATCCACTCCTAAAGAAGCAGTAAAACTCCTGGTGGAATTCATGTTGGCCTGGCAATGACTGCAGGCGTTTGTCCACGTGCAACGAGGAAGTTCCGGTTCGCCCGGAATAAAACTTTCCTTCTCAAATTTCGCCAATTGTTGTCCCTCCCGTCCACGCCACGGCAAATACCGCATACGTGCAGAATAGGAGCGCACCCCTCTCAGAAATACATATGCTCCATATGCAGTGAAGCGAGCGTTCCCCATCCATCGCAGCTTCTCCGAGCCACGATCAATGGCATTTAAAAGACCAAATGTCACAGTCATAAAAGCAATACGTTCTGCCATGACCCTTTCCTTCTTTCCCCCCTTTGAGTCATCTGCTCTCCCCTTATCACCGGCGGAATTAACAATTAAGTGCGGAAAAGATGCCACAGCCTTTTCCTTTTCACTGTTCCGTATGTATTGCATGCTCATTAAGTCCTTCATACATGTTCGGAGGTGCACAAGGGCAAGCACACTTTCCTTTACAGAGGAAATATCAAGCGTCTTTGCCATCCCACACCCACTGCCAGCGGGAATAGTGGCAATCAACGGCATTGAAAACGGTTGAATTTCTGAATGGGAGTGGGAATGCGAAACAATTTCTACGCCAAATTGACGTGCAAATGGCTTTGATGAATTGCTCCCCACATGCTGAGCCCCTTCCAAATCTGCAATTTCTGCCTTTTCCACCGTTTCTTTTCCTTCAATACTCCCGTATTTATCCCTTACAAAAAAACCGTTATTTTCATTTCTATCCCCCTCCTTCTTCTCATATTCTTCCTCCTTTTGGTGTGCCTCCTCCTCCTCCTCCCAATGTAAAGTCCCTTCTTTTTGTTTCATGCCCGCAGATTCCCTCATTAACAGGGCTTGTTTCCGCCGGAACAAGCCGTTCACAGCCTCATGAATCATCCCATCTCCCCCAACACAAACAATGACATGCTCACTATTGATATCGTTCACAACGTCCGCAATGTAATCTTCACAATGAAAGACGCGAGTGGTGACGATCACACTCACCTCATGGCGGGTAAAATACAAGACCGGAAAAACTTTTTCCTCCGTAATGCTGACAGCCTTACCAGAACCGGACTTAGGACTAACAAACAAGATGAGTTTCCTCGTCCCACTAGGGTACACGCTTCGTAAAATACTCTGCACAAGGAACTTCATTTTTCCTTGGCTCTCACAATCCGATAGAGGTGAGAATTCCAATGTGGAGACCTGCAGCGATGAACCCGATTGCTTGACATAGTGAAGATAATATAAACATCCCGGACAATCCGAGGAATGGATGTGGCCAAACGAAGAACGCCTCAACAATGTTGGGGTGAATCCGCTGGCAGAGCAATAATGGCTGCTCATCTGCGTGGATGATGAAATGGACATGATTCCGAGATTCTGAGAACCTTTCTCCGGATGCCGCGGTACATCCTTGAAAAGGTTCAAAAAGAGGCGCCTTCTTTTTCTCTTCGTCAAAGTCCCACCTGCCGTACCCATTGTGCTGTGCCGTGACTGACGCAAGCCCCGTTCTTCTGATGTTTCAATGTTCACAACATTCCACATGGGAATGTTAACGACGTTGGCCACCTGCCCCATAACGTCCAATCGCTGCAGGGAAACATGTTCCCTCGTTCTGTCGTATGTCAGTATAGCCTCTTTTCGACGGTACCGCACACGTACGGATAACTCATCGGAGCTGCATGATGCCGACTCATTCACCCGACCTGGTGCGGCTTCCGCACTCTGGCACGTATTTTTGCCATTCGTCGGTGAAAAAAGCAAGAACAACCCCTCTTTTCCATTAGACATGTGCGAATGTGCAGATTTAAGTAAAGTCTACCGCGGTGCAGCGCCGTGAGACCGCTCGTTGAAGGCGCAATCACAAGAATGATGGGTGCGGAGAAGCCGACAGAACACGCACGCGCACACGGCTGAGGAGACAGAGAGAAAAAGGGGAGATAGTAAAAAAAAAAAAAGGTAAAACAAAAATAAAAAGAAAAGAGAAAAACAAAACAAAAAAACAAAAACAAAAAGGCACTAATTCTCTCTATTTTTCCTGTTTGTTTGTTTGTTTGGTTGGTTGGTCGGTTAGTGGGTTGTTTCCTTTTCTTCTTGTTGTTTTTGAGTAAACGGTTCTCCTTGTGGGCAGTGCAGCAACAAACACAGGAGAGTAGACAACAACACGGGAAAGAGCAAAGTTAAAAAAATAAAAATAAAATGCGGTCATCCGTCGCATGATGTTTCAGGCGGCGATGAAGGGACATGGAGCATTGCAGGGAAACCCATCCAATTCCCCCTCTCTTGAAAGAGTGGGTGAACTCACGATCCATTTTGAGTCAAAAAGAAAGAAAGAAAGAAAAAAAAAAACCGCAAAAAACGTAGGAGACCCTCCACTTTGAAGCCCGCCCACACCCAAACTTCTCTACATCTTTTAAACGCCAAAAAGGAAAAAAAAAAGAAAAAAAGAAAACTCCTCACGACACGGCTGAAAGCATGTCTATGATTCGTGTTGTCATCTCCAGCAGCCCCTTTTCCGTTGGGAAATTCCGCAGGATCTGTTCACATGTTTGTTTCAACTTCATCGATGAGAACTCGGCTTGAAGTTCCGTCAAGCGGCAAAACAGAAGCACCAAGACAGAACCGACACATGCCTCTAGCAACGTCATGGAATCGCTTGAATACCTGTTCAGGGATTCACACGCCATGACCTTCCCAAGGACGGTGAAAACTCCTTCCTTAACCAGGATGTCCAACAGAACATTCCCGACCTCCTCGCCGCTGCTGCGATTGTTAAGCGCATCCAATCCAAATAAATGTATTCCGTCGCACCATACGCCTGAATCCAAAGCAATTGTTACCGCTGGGATGGTCAATGGGGCCAACAAGTTCTTCTTCCCGAGACCACACAACAGCTCACGTAGCAGGGTTGCCAGGCCGAGAAAAACAAAGGGATCTTCGCTATTGTCCTTCATCCGATCCACAATAACGTTGGTGAGTCCACCACGAATCATTCCAAAAATGTACTGAACATCTTCCTTTACCACACAGCTGAGAGCAAAACTAGCATGACGTAATACGTAGCGTTCAGCAGAATGTACGCGAAGCGCCTCGACAGCCACTGCAATACCTTGACTATATGCAAAAAGTTCAATAGACTCCGTGCGCACAGGTGAGTCAGACGCCATGACGTTATACAAACAGTAATTCCCCCAGTGCTGAATCGAGGCATGATGGGAGTACTCATTCATAATCTCTAATACCGTCAGGACCCCATCACAGCGAAAAATTGCCTCCCGATTCGATTTATACAAAGAGGCACGACCCAGGACAGTAAGGGCAGCCAATACAATCTCTTCATTCTGTGGGTACCCATCAATGATCTCCAGCACAATACCAATACCCCCAAGAGATGCCACATTTGGTAAGTTTTGGCGGTGATCATGCGATGTTATCTCCTCCAATGCCAGTTTTGTCACTTTGGGTGCATGGGAAAAGGCAAAAAGGATAAGAATGAGACTACGGAAATCACGGTAAAATTCCTTCCATACATGATCACTTGCAGGCGCCACAAGAGAAGGTGGTTGTGTTGACCCTAGGATATCACTACGCATACGCAGCCGTTGAAAATCCTCGTACTCAATCAATTGATCACCCGCACCCACATTTAACACGCAATAGCGTTGATTGATGTGAAAAGGCTGATTAAACACTTCATCGGGCACCACGGCGTCCAAATCAAATTTCTTCTCATCCACACTGACGTCAACAATGGGCAGACGGCAGACGCCCAACAATGAAGATTGGAACAAGTGACGCACAATGGAAGAGATAAGAATGCCATAACTGTGATCCCCACTCTGGTGCTGCAGCCCCACAAAATCCCCTCGCATGTCAAAAATGGGACCCCCGCTGCTAAATTCGCTCGCGGGATCAAAAAATTCATATTCGCATGAATCATTTCCAACCCGCTTCACTGTCTGAACAACATAATGCCGTTCACGACCGTTGATGTGTGTAATCATCAAATGACGATCACCAGCACGTACCTTGGCAATTCGAGACAACAATAATGGCAGGGGCAATGGTTTAATTGGATATGAATCCCATCGCTGCGTAGCGTGGCGCCCAGTAAGACTTCCCGTGCCGCAAGAAGAAGAGAAAAATGTCGCGTTCTGCGGCTCTTGCCGCTCCAAATAAGAAGCTGCAGGACGATGCTGCAATAATTGTTGAGGTAAAGATACGCACGAGACGCTTGCGCTCACTTCGGAAGAAGAAATAAATGAGTGTCCAGGTGGAACAAGCGGCGGCACGACAATACCTATAGGCGCTGAACACTCCTCCGTTGGATTCATGTCGCAAAACGTCAAAGTGTAGCCCAACTCCTCCTCATTCTCCTCCTCCTCCTCCTCCCCGATGAAACTGAATTTCGAGGCATGCAAAGACCCACCAGTGGCGGTACAGTTTCCAGAAAAAGGCGTGTTGTTGGGCACGGGCATGAATGCTCCTCCAACACCCCACCTGGATCGCGGCAGAACAGAGGCACTAGGGGTAGAACAGAAAAAAAGCTTTTCCACATTCACTGGGGCTTGAAACGGTTCCACACGGCGCCCCTCGCGTGCGTTTGTCCCTGCAACCGGCTGTTCGAGAAACGTCACGGTTGCCCCCTGTGCTTCTTCTCGACTGGGGAATACAAACGACGTTGTGAGCAGCACGCCGGTGCCATCACGCCTTACTTGAGGACTTTGCCGTCCATCCTGAATCACGTCGCAGCGAGCGGTGGAATCCAAAAACGGAAGGGCGACAAGAATGGCGGAGCCCCTGCCATCCGATACACGGCAAACGGCGTGCGTGAAGTCTGTGATATTTGCAATGACAGACCATCCCTCCATCGACCGCTCAACACGGTTGTCAAGGACACGCTGACGATGTGACACAAAGGAAGAATCCATTGTTGACATGTGAAAAGCAGTCCCACCGCGCTACTGACACCAATCCCAAAACTAGGGAAACTCCGTCCGCACGTACACACCGAGAACAAAAGCCACCAATCAGCAAAACACAAAAAAAAGAAAAAAAAAAAGGAAGAAGTTAAAAAACTGGCTGGATATTAAAGCACACATACACAAGATCTTCTCACCTCCCTTATCAACATCCAATCTCCCCCATCCCCTTCTCCTCGTTCTTGCTGCAATTTTTTTTTTTTTTTTTTTTGCTTGTTTGCATAGAGATAGGTGGAAATATATATATATATATATAACATGCGCAGTCAAATAATAATAATAATAATAAAGTTTGCCGAGCCAGGGATCCATGGGCCCCAGACGGAGGAAAAAGAGATACACGTAGATACAGCAAGAACAACACCATGAAAAATAACAAAAAAAAGAAAAAGAAAAAAACACCCTTTAAATCCGTCGTGCTGTCGCTCCCTCATGTGTACTCGTTTCTTGTCTCTCTTTTTCTTTTTTCTTCTTTTTTTTCTTTTTTTTTTTTTTTGGAAACGGCGGGGTGGAGGAAAAGGTGAAAGTGTGTGCGTGTGTGTGTGCGTGTAAAAAATTCTTGACCCCACAACTGCAGGATGAACAAACACCCCTCCTCTTCCCTCCTCCTCAGTAAAAAAAAAAAAAAAAAGTTAACATCAACGCTCCGCCCCTTCACAGAGTCCCTCTCTTCTTCTTGTTGTTGTTTTTGTTGTTATTTTTATTGCTTTCTTTTCCTCCAAGAAGAGAAATAACGACAACAACAAAAAAAAAAAAAACCGCTCATACATATTTATATGTAAAACATACACACACACACCAGATAGAGAGAGAGAGAGAGAGCGAAAGAAAAAAGCAAAAAAAAAAAAAAAAGAGATTCAACGCAGATGGAAAAGAAATATTTTTAAAACACACTGTACTGTGACAAAAAAGTGAAAAGAAAACAAAAAAAAAAAAAAAAAAGAGAGATAGAGAGAGAAAACATGAAAAGCACCCAACAAAAAGCAAAAAAAAAAAAAATAGTAAAACGTCATCCGTAGCAATGAAGCCAATTCCTAAATATTATGCGGTTATCCTCAGTAAATGCAGTGTAGCATCATCAACTGATCCAAGGGAGTCTCTGCCGTACAGTAGGGGCACCGAGCACTCGTCGCCTGCGCCCGTGACTGACGTTGCGGTCGCTCCAGCAACGACACTACCGCCCGGTTAGAAATAACATGTCCACACATGAGCAAAAGCGCAAGGTTGAAAGCTGGGCGATTGCCTGATGTCGACAACACTTCTTGCGGTCTCTCTGGATTGACGCCAAAGAGAAGTGTATCGAGGCAGCGACGGCGTGTCACCGGGCAGTAGCACATGGTCTTTTGAAACAAGGGTTGCCAGTGGAGAAATGAGTCCATGAACAAAGTGGGGTTTGCCGAATGAAAACAGGCTGTTTTTTGAGGAAACAGTAAAGACGGCGTCGCACGACGTCGTAATTCATCCTGCTCTGACAGAACCGCAGTGGCATGGGGAAGCTCCAGTATGATGGCGTGTTGACGCCGGCTTTGTGGCAAAGGAGGCGGGTGACGCTGTGTGGACAAAACATTATTATTATTATTATTATTATTATTATTATTACTGTTATTGTTATTGTTATTACTGTTATTGTTATTGTTACTATTATGATTGTTATTACTATTGTTATTGCCAACAACTCCAGCGCCGTTGCCGCCTCCAGATGCTTCGTCGGTGGAGACCCGATCACGACTCCTGGAATTGGCAAACGCGGGAAAAAGTGTCCTAAGTGCATTCAGGCCATGCCGTCGCGCGGTTTCCGAAGGGGCGGTATGCGACTGCTGTTGCTGCTGCTGCTGTTGTGGGGGAGGAAGAGGAGGCGGATTGGTTGGCATGGGCAGCGAAGTGTTTGGCTGCTGTAAGTGATTTTGTTGCTGCTCTTCTTCAAATCCACCGACAAGTCCTTTTTCACAATAGTCGTCCAGCCGGCTTAACATAAAGGTGCTCAAGGGATAGACAAGACGGTATAAAAGATTTTCCGGGTGTGATCTGCCGTCAGAAGAAGTAGCAGAAGAAGAAGAAGAGTGCGATGATGCCGCAGAATGTTTCACAAGAAGTGCTTCCAACTGACGAAGTTTATGTGCCTGATCCAAAAGCTCAAATAAAACACATTCCCGCCAAACATATGGCACTGTACATATGGGTAGAACGGGTGCGTGCATTTGATTGCATTCCTCATTACCCGCATCTTGAGAAACGTCTGAAGAAACCAAACCATCAAAGCCATTATCCTTGCATCCGCACCAAAGACGCAAAAAAGGTGCAACACATGAGAGCAATTGCTCCTGTGCAAACCGTTTCTGGGCGTTATATCCATCCTTCGGTTTTTCATCATTATTATTCCTTTGGGAATTATTATGAGGTTTATTGCTTTGTTGATTTTCGCTCAATGAAAGCGGCATGTAGCCCAGTGCAACAAAAACGTGATGAAACGTAAGCAACAGTGGTGGTGCTCCAAAATGATCCTTTTGTGACTTTCCATTCTTCTTGCCGTCGTCTACGTTTGCATGCTGGAATTCCTGCTCAAACATCATTCGCCACTCCACAAGCGGATGGCGTCGAAGAGTAAGGACAAAGTCAACCGCCTGCTGTAATTTTGAATTCATCGATGCATCTTTTCCTCCGGAAAGCATTTGAGAGAGACGCTGCAGGGCACAAACGATAACAAGATCCGATAGAAGAATTTTAGCCTGCTGTGTCGCAGAAACCACAAGCTTGACGCTTCCTTCTCCCTTTGGACTTGCCGCATTTTCTCTCCCATTTTTATGACCCCCTTCTTGCTGCCGTTGATGCTGCTGTTGCTGTTGCTGTTGCTGTTGCTGCTGCTGCAATTGCTGCTGCTCCTGTAAATGACGATGATGACGATGACGACGATGTGCGGCGGTGGATGGCCCTGGATACATGATCATGTCTATCTCTATTTCCTCCGCCTCCTCCTCTTCTTCCTCTTCCTCTTCCTGTCCCTCGTCGTGTTCCTCGACGTACTCCAGTTCTTCCTCTTCCCCCTCTTCCTCTTCCTCCTCTCCCTCCTCTCCCTCCGTATATGACCATGAAACCTCTGCATCAGGGGAATTCGCCTCTTCACTCGGCTCGCCCTCTTCTTCATGAGGCTGGTCGCGCATCGCCCCGCCAGTCAATGATGCGGCAGCACCTTCCACCCCGACCTCCGCCCTGGATCCCCATGTCGCTGCAAAAGAGGGCGGGATTTGCGCTGTCAACCAAATTTCACCCCTATTATGAGACCGCTGCATATTTTGTTCTGCTAAAAGCTCTTCTTCATTTTCTACGACCCGTGCTTCCTCCCTGTGTGGAGCACTCACTAATCCCAACTCCGTAAGAAATGTGGAATCGGCCAACCCTTCGCTTCTCCTACTATCCCCCGGCTGCTGTCGTATTGACGCTGAGCTATCAAAAGCTTCCAACCGCGTTGTCATTGCATCACCAACCCCCAAAGTCCCATGATGACCTGTGGCAGGAATATTGCAGAGGCTCACAATCCTTGATATCCAGTGCACCGTGTGCGGGTATGCATTCTGCACCATCTGGATTAAATCCCCCGCATCGTCAGACTCTGCACGGGGTTGCAAAAGACCACGACGAATTTCTTGTGAAATCATAACATCACACGGTGTGAATTCAGCGGAGGAGTTTAAATTCGATCCTGCAGTCATTCCATCGTAACATCCGAGCTCCATCTCCATTGCAGTCGTCAGCGGGATGCCATCGTACTGTAGCTGTCGCAGTAGCAGATCATTCACCACCGCGTTTAGGCCTCGTCTTGGTGCTGACTCCTGTGCAGAGCTTAGCACAGTACCCTCAATCCGTGCGGAGGGTAACTGTGAATTCAGGAACAACAACGACTGCCGCTCGTTGCCGTCGCCGTCCCCAGCATTCGAGGATGTGACCCGACGATGCGCCCCATCCGCCACCATCGATGCCGCGTTGCTAACACGATCAAGCTCCAGTGGATCCCAACGAATAAAGCGTGACAAATACTGTCGCACATCCGCATAGCAAATGTTACCACCAATCGGTGTATAACTCTCCGCCCCCGGGGAACTCCCAGGGGCATTCGCCGCTGCCGCCGCACAAACTCTCTCGTTATGTTCGGGAAACGTCTTTTGATAAGACTTAGAAACCTCCACCGCAACATCCACCTGATGACGCAAGTGTGCCAGACGATCATGGATAAGTGTGTCACATGCATCCACATACTTCTGGAGCTCCTCTAGCGGCGTCACGACAGCCTCTGCAACGGATTCTTTGGCAGTAGGGTTCACTTTGGCACTACCGCCATTGACATTGTTGTTGTTGTTGTTGTTGGTGGTGGTGGTGGTGGTGGTGCCAACGTCCTCCTCTGGAAAGAGATTGCTCAACTGGCGCATCACACCAGCAGTTTGCTTGATCTTTACCTCCAGCTCCAGTAAAATATGCCTCAGGTCCGCTGTCTCTTGCGGCATTTCCATGCCAAGGACGTCCATTACTATGTTAATAAATATATAAATATAAATAAATAAATATTTATATATATTTATATCGTTCTTTTTCCTCCCTCCTTCACTTATTCTCTCTCTCTCGTTCCGCTTCGCGTGTCACAACACACGGCAGCAACAATCACCCAAGAGATGTATAGATGCGTATATTACCTGCAGCTGCTACTACAGTGGGCAACGGTGGACGGATGAGGGAAAAATAGGTCAACCCCCTCCCTCCCCCCCCCAAAAAAAAAAAAAAAAAAAAAAAAAAAAAAGACTTACTAGCCAGCTAACCACTTCCTGCCCTCTTCGTCAACGAGATAAGCGTTAAGTGGTGCGTCCTCCCCTCCTCTCACCCCTTCTCAGCCCCCGTCTGTCTTCTGTTGACCGGAAAGACGACTGAAACAAGGGGTGATAATGATGACACTGGGAAGGCGAAGGAGCACAATTCTTTCCTTTTTTTTTTTCTTTTTTTTTGGTTCCTACTTTTTTTTTTTTTTTTTTCTTCTCCTTTTTCTTTCCTATGATGTTGCTCTTTACTGTTCTTTTTTTCTCTTTCTCTCGCTTGCTTGCTTTTTGTGTGTGTGTCTTTGGGATCCCCCCTTCCCTTCTTTCCTCGTGTGTTGTTTTTGTTTTTGTTTTTGTTTTTATGTGTGTGTGTGTGTTCTTCCTACTCGCCCCGCCCCACCCCCCGGCGTACGGTAGATGCTTCCTGCCAAAAAAAAAAAAAAAAAAAAAAGAGTCAAGCCGACCTGCGTATTATCTTCGCTCCACGCTCGTTTGTGTTTTCGCCTTGACGTCCGCCGCGTTTCCCTGTCCAGCGCCAGGCCCACGCACAAAAAAAGAAAAGAAAAGAAAAAAAGACGGATCCCACCGCGCAGACACCACAAAACTCCACCGCAAACAGAAAAAGAGAAAAAAATAAAATAAACAAAAAAAAAATTCATTGGAGCAGTCCAGCAATGCGGAACTCAAACAAACACGCATGCAGAAGGGGAAAGGAGAAAAAGGCGTGTAAACATACACGACATGATCGCGTTTCAACTCCACTGGAACTCCAAACAGAAAAATTAAATAAATAAATAAATATGAAAGCCACAATTCCTCTTTATTATTATTATTATTATTATTATTTGTAATCTTTACGGTGGTGTCCATGGCGTCTCAGGCTCCCTAAAATTTATTTACTCCCCACACCACATATATATATATATACATATATATACGTATATATCTAACATGCGTACATACATAAGGGAGGGGGAATAGAGAGAAAGCGAGCAAAGACGCAAAAAATAATAATAATAAATAAATAAATAAATAATAATCATCAATGCAATAAACATTAAAAATTAATTGAAGCTGACAGACAAATAAATAAATAAATAATAAACTTTGAACCGAATTCTCATTCACATATAATATAATATAATATAAACAAACAAACAATCACTTTTACGTACATGTGTACAGAAGCCCAGTAATACACAAATCTACACACATATGTCAATTCTTTGAATCTTTTGTATGTTTACGGATAGGTATACACATCCCAAAAAATTCGTTTGCCTTAAATATTTCACATGCAGGAAAAAACAAAAACAAAAACAAAAACATCACTGTGGGAAATTATAATAATGATCATATAAATAACAACAAGAAAATCAATAATAATTAATAATATTAATAATAATAATAATAATAAAGACAAATAACATAAAAGCAAAAAATACAAAGCAAGAGAAAAAAAAAAAAAAAAAAAAAGAATCCTCATTTCTCATTGTATCTTCTCTACTCCCTTTACATTTCTCATTTTCTTTCTTGCCTTTGGTCTCTATTTTTCCCCTTTCTCTTTTTGTACAATTTCTCTCTCCAATGGCACTCCGACGCGTCATCAATACTGAAATAAATTAGTAATAATATGCTTTGGCTGCTCCCGCAACGCATAGTACAGGCCTGTGATCGCGTCAGGAGAAATAAAGTTCTTCTCAAAAAGCACCATGGCATGATCCACACCTCCAAGAATTCGTATAGCACGAGAGCCGGGCTCCTCCATGTCTTTTGATATAAGCGGAGGCAGGGCATCTGTGTCGTAAAAGGATGGACTCACATATCTTCCATTCTCATCCTCCATTTCCCCGGAAAATCGAAACTCACCGCCACGCGTCAATACAAGGGTGTAGTGCCTTCCCATAACAGCTTCCTTCACTTCATCAAGCACATGCGTTGGAACCGTCACACAGTTACCCTCCGCAGACAACTGATTCCGCTCGTTTGCACCCCAGACATACAACCTTCCATCATCGGTAATGGCAAAGGTCGAAAACGGTCCACAACCAACATGGGTAAAAGGAGCCCGAATGGCAATTTTACCTGGAACATAGCGGTCCTCCACGTTCCCAAGTCCCAAACGACCGCGTGAACCGATTCCCCAAACAAATACTTCTCCAATCGCATTTAACGCCACAGCATGCCACGCTCCTGCAGCTACAGATACAATGCTGGACAAACCAGATACCCTTACTGGTAACAAAACGCTGGCATGGCTCTCATTTCCCAATGAATTCATGATAAGATTCGCCGGAACATCCGTTGGAAGAGGCTGCAGCCCATTACCACAGCATTCAATAGCACCCCATGTATACACTTCTCCTGTGATGCTTAATGCCATGCCAAAAAAGCAACCACATGCAACTTGAATTATTAACTTATCGGCCAACCATGTAATCTCTCGGGGTTCACTTATAATTCGATATTCTTTCGGGTTCACACCAAGTCCGCACTGACCATATGTATTGCTTCCCCACGTAAACACACGTTGGCCTTCATTGATAGCGGCAGCAAAACAAATGCCCGCGCTAACTTGTGTAATAGTCGTTCGGAAAAAATAAGAAAGCCGCATGGCATTACGCACCACAGGCACTTGATCTGAAGTAAAATCCTTCACGCCTCGAACATCAACCCCAAGCTGACCCCATCCGCCCAAACCCATACTGTAGCAGGAACCACGTCGAGTCACCAAGATGGAAAAGCCTTGTCCCAAACCAGCAGTTAATAACCCATCTTTCAAGTCAATCACCCTAAGTGCCGGGGAAACGTCACCATGTGGTATCCCAAGGACAACCAAAGATAATGTTTTGGGTATCGCAAGAGAAAAGTTATGACAAGACCCGCCGGATAGCCATAACGTTGTATAATTGTCCAAAATGTGTACGCCACGAACCATGCGCATGCTATACCCAGTACCTATGCCTAAACCCAATCCCGTCCCATAAGCAATGACATCCCCTGTCTCCAAGAGAAGCAAAGTATGGTGTCGTCCACACGTGGCCGATATCACTTTATGATAAGAAGGGACGTACATGGGATAACAGGTTGTAAGCTTCATCTCTCCAAAAACTCCGCATTGTCCACCTTGATTGTCACCACAGGCAAAAACTGAACCTTCGGCACTCACAAAGCATGTGTGAAAGCTACCACATGCTGCCTCCGTCACTACCGAGTCCAGTGTTGTAATTTTTGTTGGCGTCCTTACATCACTCTCAGTTCCATGGCCGAGAGACCCATTCCTCCCTAATCCCCATGTATATACTTGACCATCCTTGCTGACTGCCACAGCATGCCACGGTCCCATTCTCAAGAGTTTTATCGATTTATCTTCCAGTGCTTTGACTTTTACAGGTTCAGAAACAACCGTCCGATCCACTGAACCAAATCTGAGTGTAAACACGGAATCTTCAGGTGCCTGCTCAAGAACTTCATCCTCATCGCCAAGAAGAAAAGTGTATCCCCAACCGTAAACGGAACCAGATGCAGTGAGTGCAAGAACCGTAAAGTTTGAACATGCTACCTGAATAATTTTCTCGCCCAAAATACTGCGGCGTTGAGCTGTGGGGCAACACTTATTTTCCATGATTGGTGAGCATTGAGCGTAGTTATTTGCACCCCAGAGAAATAACTCTCCTTTTATCGACAATGCGGCAATATAGGCAAACCCACCTTGTACATCTATGAGCATATCTTCTCGTGCAAAATTGGGCAATTCAATCTGTACAATAGCAATGGGAAGTCCATTCTCGGTGGCGGTGACAAGAGGACAGGTTTTCGGATTCGGTACACCAAGTTCTCCCCATCGGCCGCTGCCCATCGTGAGAACCGTCCCACGTGCCCCAAGCCACACAGAGGTGGTTGAGGCACAACCAATTCGTATAGCCTTATCTCGACCACCAATCATTAACGGTGTGATGAGGTTGCAGCGGTAGGTGGTGCCAAGTTCACCCTTACCCCCAGATCCCCAGCCCACAATAACGCCATCATCTTTCAAAAAGCGCTGTAAAAGATTAGTCACGCTAGACGGTACATCGCCAAGTTCCATATAAAGATCGACCAAAGAATGTTTGAAATGATCCATTTGAGACATTGATGCCTCCCTCTACAACTGTAATATTCTTCTTCCCTTTCTTCCTTTTATTTTAAATAACCACAGGCACAGACAGAGAAGCAAAAAAAAAAAAAAAAAAAAAAAACTCAGTAAAAAAAAAAAAAAAGAAGCAGTGCAAAAACACATGTACCAAACACATGGATGGTGAAGTTATAAAGAAGAAATGAGGGGGGAAGAAAAGCACAGCAGGGTGTGTAGGTGTGCTTACCTGCAAGGTGTGAGATTTCATCCAACGCACCTCACCCCCTTCCCCTTCTTCGCCAAAGAGCAGCCAAACAACAACGACAACAACACCAAGACCAACCCACCCAACCCCCTCCCCGACAAAAAAAAAAAAAACGGGATCATCATCATTATCCCGAGCAACCGATGCCGGTGTCACTGCACCTAACAGCCTCCGGCGATGCATCCCTTACCCTTTCTTTTCTCTCACACACACGCTCTCTCTCTCTTTTTTTTTTTTTTTTGGCCTTCCCTTCTCCTTTTCCCCCTCGGCAACACGACGAACGTGACAAGAGACGGGACGTGATCACAAGCGTCCCTCCTCTCTCATTGTCCCGCATGCATTTGCCGCTTCCCTTTCCTTCTTTCCTTCTTTTTTTTCTCTTTTTTTTTTCTTTTTCTTTTTTCTTTTTTTGTTCATGAGACCTTCGCATTGAGACGCGTCGGACCAATGTAAACATCAATGCAACAAGACTCACCATCCTCGTTGTATGCATTCATTTGAAAAGTCCCACGCAACACGCCGGAGGTCCCACATAAACTTACACCGCTCTCATACGTATGAGATTCTCCAGGTGCTAAAAGGGGAAAATTACCAGCCACACCAGGACCAATCACCTCCGTCACTTGACCCACGTCTTCGTCAAAAACGACCCAATGTCGCGAAAGTAGCTGAACGTGCCATCCCTTTGGATTTCTAGAAGAACCATAATTTCGAATAAACACAACGTAACGAAATACGTATTCTTTTGACTTGGAGCTGCCATTGTGGGAGCTCCCCCGGGAAGCTGACTCATGAACGTCCGCCTCGTCGGAAACATCAGAAACATCCTCGTCAGGAATTCTAGAGCAAACATACTCTGCACGAAGCTCAACCTCAACGTGATCGGTCACTGTCACGGTGCGTGAAGAAATGGAATCACACATCGCACGGTACTCGTCTGCCGTTCTTACATCATTTTGAATAACAACTGGTACATTGCCTGGTATGTTTGACGATGCAGCCATGACAAGCAGTGCATCCACTATTAGAGGAAACCTGAAGCTTGTACGCATATTTCTCGTGTATAACGGTTCAGGGGGAATTAAAAACCGATACAAGGGCAGTCGGTCCAACACCATGCAAAATACCACATGGCGCGATATTTTTCGCACCTTTCGACTCACAGAGCCCTCAATGAAAATGGTTCCATTGGCAATCGTAATGACATCATCCTCTTCCCCAACACCAGTATTGCTATTATTATTATTACTGTTGTTATCATCATCACCTTGCAAACTCTTGTCGCTCTCTACAGGTGTGACTTTACCCTGAATCTCAGGAGCCTTCTCCGCCTTCACGGCCCCTTTTGGAGATCGAAAATGCGACGTGTTCTCCGTTTGCCCCTCCACCCGCTCTCGCACCTTTACATTTGACGCCGTCGCATCGTTCAGTCGTCGCAAGACATCAAATGCGGCGGATAAACGTGCAGCCGACTTGTCGCTTGCAAGCCCAGCAATACTTGGACGTGAAAAAACTGACCGAGCCACCCGCTGCAACGTGTTGCCGTACCCCGCGGCGGCAAAGTCATCCATGCGTAGCATGACACCAAATACGGCGAAGCAGACATGGCCCGGCTCCTTGTACTTCAAAGACGCTCGCCCCACCTGCTTGAGAATCTGCCGATACGCCAACCGCTCCACAGACATTCAAAATTTCAGGGTTTCTCTACCTTCTCCAGCGGGAGAAAAAACTGGCAGCTGACAAAAAAAGAAAAAAAAGGAGAAAAAAAAAAAAAAAAAAGAACCCGTTAGAAGAGACATGGGAGACAAGAAAACCAAACATGAAGCAAAAAGCAGAAAAACCAACAACAACCCAAAAAAAAAAAAAAAAAAAAAAAGATTTAGAAATCAACGACCAAAAAAAAAAAACAAACAAACAAAAAAAAAAAAAAAACAGAAGTCGCCCAAGCAACAACAGAGTGGCACGACTTTTTATTAACTCCTCGCCTCCTCCTTCGCTCCAGTAAAGACACGCGTGGTATCCATCTCTCACGACAATTACAAAAGCAATAAAATGCATCTACAGCCACAATTATCCAGCGCCAACCCCTGCAGCGCCTGCAGCAAATACACACCCCCACACCCCCACACACAAAAGAAGAAAAAAAAAAAAAACCACCCGCGCTTTTTTCTTTTTTTTTTTTTTATTTGGGCAGGGGCATCTTTGTCTTTGATGGTTTTTTTTTTTTTTTTTTTTGGTTTTTTTTTTTGGCTTTTTTTCGGGCGGGAAAGAAAAAAATTTTTTTTTT